AGCCCCCCACCCCCCATGCACCCAAGTTTGCCTGGCAATCTTGTCTACTTCCAATCTCCAGGAGAATAACTATATGATTTTCTTCATGTTCACCTTCTTATTTAGCTTCTCTAGGATCATGAATTATAGGCTCAAAGACCTTTAACTATGGCTAGAATCCACTTATGAGTGAGTACATACCATATTCCTCTTTTTGGGTCTGGGTTACCACACTCAGTAAAACGTTTTCTATTTCCATCCATTTGCATGCAAAATTCAAGGTGTCATTGTTTTTTACCGCTAAGTAAAACTCTAATGTGTATATGTTCCACACCTTTTTTAACCATTCTTCTATTGAGGGGCACCTAGGTTGTTTCCAGGTTCTGGCTATTACAAATAGTGCAGCTATGAACATAGTTGAACAAATGCTTTTGTAGTATGTTAGGACATCTCTTGGGTATATTCCCAAGAGTGGAATTGCTGGGTCCTGAGGGAGGTTGACTCCCAGTTTCCTGAGAAACCGCCACACTGATTTCCACAGTGACTGCACAAGTTTGCATTCCCACCAACAATGGATGAGTGTTCCCCTCACTCCACATCCTCTCCAGCATAGACTATCATTGGTGTTTTTGACTTTAGCTATTCTGACAGGTGTAAGATGGTATCTCAAAGTAGTTTTGTTTTGCATTCCCTGATCGCTAAGGAGGTTGAGCATGACCTTAAGTGTCTTTTGGCCATTCGAAGTTCATCTGTTGTAATTCTCTGTTCAGTTCAGTACCCCATTTTTTAGTTGGGTTTATTAGAGTTTTAGTGTCTAGTTTCTTGAGTTCTTTGTATATTTTGGAGATCAGACCTTTGTCTGATGAGGGGTTTGTGAAGATCCTCTCCCAGTCGGAAGGTAGCCTTTTTGTCTTATTGACAGTGTCCTTTGCTTTACAGAAGCTTCTCAGTTTCAGTAGATCCCATTTATTCATTGATTCTCTTATCAGATTCTCTGAATGTGGCTGACATGGGAGCTGACTGAGAAGCCATTGACAATGGCACTGGGTCTTGTTTCGTCTGCATGGACTGGCTTTTTGGGATCCTGGTCTGTTTGGATGCTCACCTTCCTGGACCTGGAGGGAGGGGGAAGGAACTTGGACTTCCCACAGTGCAGGAAACCCTGACTGCTCTTGGGACTGGAGAGGGAGGAGGAGAGGAAGTGGGGGGAGCGGGAGGGTATCGGGAGAAGGATAGGAAGTGGAAATTCTTATAAATAAATAAATAAATAAATAAATAAATAAATAAATAAATAAATAAATAAATAAATAAGAAAAAGAGAATATAAAGTATGGTTTTTTATCACACCTAGCATGCTCATATGATTAAGATTCTGCCATTGAAATTTCAGCCAATATTTTATGTTGCTTTTATAGAAAAATGTTAAAGATAGAGACATATTTTAAAATGAACTTTTCCTAATGGTTTAATATTATAGTCATCTAACAGAATTGACAATGGCAATTTGATTTTCTAGAATGAAGTACAAAGAAAAACCTTCATATTATCTATTCAAAAGATTAAAATGCGTTTTATTCTTATGGAGAATAATACAATGGGAGTTTTGCAGTAAGGGAAAAATTTGACTCTGAAAAATTAGGAAAGTAGAAATTTAAAGTCAGGAAATCACAAGGAGGTCAGTGATTGGATGATTACTAAAGGGAAACTTTTTTATGGGGTCAAAGGGGTTTATAGCTAAACATATGCGATCAAATTGTTGATGAAGGTAGGTTATAGAAGGCAAGAATGAAGAATCTCAAAAAATGGTAAGTAAGAGTAATTAGGTGTCAAAAACTATTTTACTAAATTTGTACATTCTAGAAGGTGACACAGGCACCCCAATGTCTATAAGAAGAAAGTTCAGAGGCAAATGATAGAATGTGCTCGAGGAAACAATATTCTTGAGTTATCATGTTATTTTTTGCCAATCAGCAGTTCTATAGAGAGTGAAAATTTAAAAAAAAATTAATGATCAAAACCCACAGTCTTAAGGGGCTGTGACCTAGGAAAATCATTATCAGTTCTCCAGATAGATAAAAGAGGAAGAGATATAGTATTGGTAAATTGGTACAAAATGCTACTTTTATGAAACCATAGAACATATCTGCCATAGTACCAATAATATTATTTTATGGTTTTCACCATATGTAAAAAAATCACATCATAATCAATATAGTAATTTAAATAGCTACCTTGTGTCTCCTCTGTCCTAATCTAAGGTGTTTTTTTTTCTTTTTGTCTGGAATAGTCAGTGAAGAGATAATTATAGAGGTTTAGAGAGCAGGAAAACATCTTTGTATTTGGGGAAATTGGTAGTTAAGTGTTTAGGACTGTATGATTAAGAATAGGATGTTCTGCTGAAATGTTGTAATTTGTTCACTACAGTAAGTTTGTTTATAACATAGGTAAATATATCAAGGAGACTAAATAACTAACAATTTTTAGACATAGCTGATGGAGTAAACATACTTAAACCAGGGTCAAAGGTTACTCAAAGATTCTTCAACTATAAGTGATTAAATCAAATTAATTTAACTTTCACTAAATCATCATCTCATATGTTTAAGTCTGGTGAGACATGTATAGAGAATTAATTACCTATATGTGAAGAAAAATGGAAATAAAATAGAAACATTCGTGAATTGACTGAGTTCTGCTGATTAATCTGTGTCCACACATCAGTACAGAGAGCAAATTACGAATGTTGAGGAAAGATCAGAATGTTTGATATCCATTTCAAAGAATTTCAAAGAAAATTCTCTTAAGGAAAATATATAATTAGCCTAGAATTTATTAGTATGTAAAAGCTGATAAAAAAGAATTTACCTCTCATGAAGATTCTTCGATATTAATGGCCTAGGAAGTGTTTTCCTTGATCTGAAACCTTTCAGTGTTGTAATTCTTTTCCTTTTTTTACTTTTATTGAAAACAGCTTTCTTTTCAAATGATATATCCTAATTATGGTTTTCCCCTCAGTTTGATCCTCTCACTTTCTCCCCACCTTCTCCAATAAAGATCCACCCTTGTTCTGCCTCTCCTTATAAAACAAACATGCTTCTAAGAGGTAATGTGGCAATAAAATATGATAAAATGAGATGAAACAAAACTAATAAGGTAGAACAGGAGGAAATAAACAAATAGAAAGAAATGAAAAGAGCACTGCCTGAAGGAGTATGAGACATCAACAAATGGAGACGCACACATTCATACACTCAGGAAGCCAATAAAAATTTTTAAGTGAAAGCTGTAATATATATGCAAAGTTTCTGTGAATATACACACATACACAAATATATATGCATATGTATGTTATATATATTTATATGTGCATACATGTGTTTACATATGTGCATATATACATATATATAGAGAGAGATATACATTTATTAAAGGACATGGTGTGACATTGTAAGAAACCTGCAGTGATACACTGAGTTCATTTTGTTCGTCATCTAGTGCTGGGCATGCAGTAATTCTTTAGAGTAGTTTTTTTCCCAGTGAGACTCTCTTGAAGAACACTAAGTTTTCAATTACGTGCAGTTATCAATTGGAAATAGATAGTGGGTTAGGAATGTGGGAATGTGTCACCTATTCTTTCAGCTCTAGAATATCTTTGGGTTCAGACCCGTGCAATCCCTGTGTATGTGCCCCAATCTCTGTGTGTTCATGTGTGTATCAATCACGTTCAGTTATAGGACCTTGTTTCCTTTGTGTCCACCATCATCATCTCTCGCTTTTCTTTTGCTGAGTTCCCTGAGCCCTAGGAGAGGCATTTTAGGTCTGAGTGTTCCGAAGTCCAATTCTCTGAACAATATCTGACTGTAGATCTCTATATTTGTTCTCATCTGTTGCAGGAGGAAGCTGCTCTGTGAAAGCAGAGCAGGGCACTGATCTATGAATATAGATTAGGATTCTTTATTTGTTTTTATGCAAAGTCCCTGGGCTTTCTATTCTCAGACTATTGAACACGAAAGTAGCTACGGTTTCTATCTCCTAGAGTGTTTCCTAAGAAAAAGCAGATATTGATTACTCCCTAAAATTATATGACACCTTTGCATTACCATATCCTTAGTTTGGACAACAGTGTAGACATTTTGTTACTGGCTTGGTGTTTCCATTTCTTTTTTGGAACCCCACAGAGTACCTTCCTATAAAGAAGATTCTAGAACATGGAACATGGGAATAAAGGCTGTAAGTAGGACCAGATTGACTTTATCATGCTCAATGAATTGTGTAGGTGTTGTTTTCAGCAGTGGTAGCATGTCATCAGTTTGTGGAGAGCAATATTTAATCTTAGCAACAGAATGTACTGTTTGGAAGTTCCCATGGATCATTTTGGACAATTCCTCAGAGATAACTTATTCCAGGTACTGGAAATTTCATTAGTTGACTAGAGATAACCAGTTCAGATTCTGTATCCCCATTATCTGGTAATTTCTTTATATTCTCATTATTTATGTATAAGGTTTATGAAACATCTTATGTATTAGACTTTTGTACGTCAATGACCCTTAATTTTATTTCTTACTCACCATTTTTTTTCTTTCCTCATACTACTTGATCCTCTTGTTCCAATACATTTGCCATCCAATCATAACTATCCATTCTATTTCTTGTTTCCAGGAAGATCTCTCTCCCTCATTAAAATTTCTCATACTATGCCTAAACACTGTAGTTCTACAGAGAGAGGCTTGGTTATCAGTAATAAATAGGTAATATTCACATCTAAGTGAATAATGCTCTCTTTGTCCTTCTAGGTCTGGGTTATAATAATTTAGGGTGATTTTTTTTCTAGTTCCATTCTGTCTCAGTTAGGCTTACTATAGCTGTGGTAGAAGACCATTGCCAAAGACAACTTGAGGAGGAAAGGGTATATTGTACATCCATTTTTATTCAGTTATAGAAAGTATTTAATGTCCTAATGCATTTTTGTCTAGAACCATTTTTCATTTATTAGTGGGTTTTTCAGTTTCCATTAGTTTGTAAGTTTTCTGTTGTTTCTCTGTTGCTGATATCCGTCTTTCCTCAGTGGTGGTCAGAAATGATAAAGGGTGTTATTTCAACATTTTTGCAATTTTTGAGACTTGCTCTGTGATCAGAGTATATAGTCAATTGTAGCAAGTTCCATGTTGTGATGAGAAGAAAGTATACTGTTTGGTGTTTGGGTGAAATGTTCTGTTAATATCTTTTAGATCCATTAATGTAGCATGAGGGCTGGCTTGTTGGGGTATCCATTCCCACCCAGTACCCCACAGCCGGCAAGTCCCAGAGAAAATAAATCACACAGAGATCTCTATAAGTTATAAAGCTGATTGGCCCATTAGGTCAGGCTTCTTGTTAACTCTTATAACTTATGCTACCCCATTATCCTTATCTACATTAGCCACATGGCTCCGTACCTTTCTCAGCTGGGCAAGTTACATGCTGCCTCTTCGGTGGTCTGCACAGGAGTGCGGAGGGAGCTTCCTGCAGTCTCTTTGCTCCACCTCTACTTCCTGTCTGGCTTTCCCGCCTATACTGCTTGCCGGGCCAATCAGTGTTCTATTAAAATATGATTGAAAGAATACAGATAATTCTCCCGCACCACATTTGTTTTATAATGTGAGTTAGCTCTAGTATTTCTTTGTTTACTTTTCATTTGGATAACCCTTCTGTTGATGAAAGTGTGATATTTCCATCTCCCACTATCAATATGTGAGGAAGAATATATAATTCTAGCTGTAGTATCATTTCTTTAATGAACTCTGATGCCCTTTTATTTGTTGCATAAATGGTACAAATTACAATGTGCATATGGTAGGTTATTCTTTTGATGACTGTTAAAGCCTGTCTTTCCCCATCTCTTTTGATTATGCTGAGTTTGAAGTTTAATTTGTCAGATATTAAAATTGTTCTATTATCTTGCTTCTTAGGTCCATTTTCTTCTAGTACCTTTTTCCATCTTTTTACACTGGGATAATATCTATCCTTAATTCTCAGGTATGTTTCTTGCACACAGTAGAAGGATGAATCCGTTTTTGCATCCTTTTTGTTGCAGAGAGCAGTGTTTATTGACTCCTGTTATTTTGCTGATGTGGTATGTGTGTACATGTGCATGCATATGTGTTTCTCCAATGATTCGTTAGTAGGGAATATATATATTTTCCGTGGACTTCTCTGGTTTTTAGGAGATTGTGGTTTTCTACCCTCTAAAAATGTCTTTTTATCTGGTAGGAAATATTTCTGATATCCTGTTAGATGTGGTCGCTGTGGATTACAGATAAAATATGTTTCTAGTTAAACTGATACATAAGAATGTGGATGAAATAGGACAGGTGTTGATGGTGTACACGTGAGAGAAGAAAGCAGGTAGTCCGCCAGAATCCACTTAGTGGTCAGGAAATGGGGCTTGTAGTGAGGAGGGACTGCAGTGGGTGGTTGGTTACAGCTTTGGGGTGAGACAGAGAATTGGATTCAGAGGGATAGAGGCAGAGATAAAGATACGCAGTTATTCTACTTGTTTCACTGGCCAAAGTGACCTGTGTGTTCCCAAGGGAGATCAGCTAGAGATAAGGTTGGAATAACGAAATAAATGGGGAGTAATGCTGGAGGAGAAGATCAGAATGGCCGGACCACTGGAAAAGAGGGTAGAGAGGAGGGAGAGAACACAGCAGGTAGTCTGTTACAGAGATGAGGATGATACTAGGGAACTAGAAATGAAAGAAAGGAGGGAGAATTGAACATCTGCATTAGACTACATGTTTCCCTGGCAAAAGAGGTCTGTGGGTTCATGGGTGTAATGTAGCCTCATTGCTTGAGAACCATTACTATAACATAAGAACCGGGGTTCTGGCAGTATGAATGCTTGAAAAACCCGAAAACCAATAATGGAGTATAATAATTTAGCAGTTTTGTAAAAAAGTTTTGTAAATTTTATAAAAATTTAGCAGCTTTGTAAAAATCTTTTATTTTTCTAGTTGGCACAAGAGATCACTAGTTTTTTGTTAGAGATAACATATTTTCTGATCTGATCATTTTCTAAATCATCATCCTCAGAAACAGTGAGATAGCTCAAGAATAAATGAAGATCCTACCAAGTCTGAAGGCCTAAGTTTGATCTCTGTGATGTACACTGCAGAGAGAACTGACTCTTGTCATTGTCCTGTATTTTCCATGTGGATGAATCTATATTCACCAGTATAAAAACAAAAACACTCTCACCACATCTCTTAAACATAGTGCTTGAAGTTCTAGCAAAAGCAATAAGATATTTATTTTTAAATGAAGAAAAGGTTAGGATGTTCCATTAACAGACCAGGATTTAGGGCTGTACCGACCAACATGGGTCTGTTCAGATGTTTATGGCCAGTGTTTATAGTACTCCAAATTTTTAAACGTGAGCTTTAACCTTCTGCATTAAAGATTTTAAGACATACTCTAATGGAAGTCTGTTAGAGATTCTTTATGACCAGACTCTCACTCAGACAAGTCCAAATAAGTCTTCTTAACTGCTTGTTTATCAAAATGTCCAAATATCTCAACTCAATGTACTTTGATAGCCTTTTATGCGCCCAGCACAATAAGTTGTAGAGAATAAACTTAAATGTTCTTCTGGCAATTTTAAGTTTTAGAATTCCAACACGTGTACAGGTGAAGCATCAGTTAATCTATTGGACAAGTGAGCCCGACTGGCAGGATAGCAGAGAAGCCTTTGAGCACGCACCCTTAGCAAGTAAATGGTATAGTTCCAGTCTGCAGAAATAGACTATTAAATGTGAGCGAGAAGAAAATAAACTAAAAGTGGACAATGGAATGAGTAAAGGAGAAGACTATTTAAGAGTGCTTTCTAGTTTTTCTTGCTGTTGTTGTTGTTCTTGTTGTTTTTTAATTTAAAGTATAGTCCGTAGTTTTAGCCAAACTGCTGTTTGAATGAAGACACAGTGTTCAAAGAATATGTGCATTGCTGATACCAAATATCAGTTGAAGAGTTTCGAAGATAGCCCCCAGGTATGCTGTTTTCCTAAAATGAAAAAAAAAGAAAACACTGAAAATTCACATATTAACCATTGCTTGTTACAAAGGCTTTCTAGCATCAAAGGCAGAGAATTTATAGGACCATATAACCAATAGTGGAAGGATTCTATACAAAAGGCTTCCATTGTTTTTAGCACATATTTGAATTGTAGACTTGATGCCTAGAGTATATACTGTATGGAAAAACAGAGGAACCATTTTATCTTGTTTGTCCAATATTTTTCCCCTGAAATTTCATGTTTTATAACTGATTCTATGGTTGCACACTTGGATGACTTCTTGCTCTAATTTTCACCTACCTGAATATTGAGGAGATATTACAGTGTCCACAAGGAATCACCCTCTCAAAATAAACTAGAACACATCGTATCATAGATTCTTTGTAGAAAGCTAAGACTCTATTATTGCCCAGGGAATATGCCATTCTCATATTTAATGTTTCAAGAACAAGGTGGACACCAAACTTTTCTCTTGACAAGATGAAATTCTTTTTCAGTGTTTAGCTAGCTCATATGCTCCTGAGAAGATTCCTCACATAGTACCTTAGATGATCCAGGGGCACTGACCTGCTGGGAAGTTTTGTTAAGAGTGAAAAGGGGAAAACTTAGAAATTCCTGGACCTAATGTTTTGAGTAAATTCAATCAAATAAGAGAAGAGTCACAGGCACATAGACTAATTACAGATAAGATTACAGTGCCTCAACCAAGTTACAGTGAAGAAAAGAACAGGCACTTATAGACATTGTGAAGGGTACTGATCGAGTAAATATGTGTATGCATTGTTTTTAAGTACTGTTGTATATTTGTCAAAATGAAATTGCCATAATTTAAGGAGTATAGTAAAAGTGGTATTGGTATTCAAAAAATATTAAATATAAGCACCCCAAAAAAGATTCCTAGGCCTATTTGTAGCATAAACAGATTATTGTGATTACCTTTATTTATTAGAGTCTGTGGAAGTTTGAATATGAATGGTCTCCATGGGCTCATAGAGTTGAATGTTAAGTCACCACAGAGTTTAACTGTTTGAGAAAGATTAGATAAATTAGGAAGTTTGGCCTTGTTGGAGAAAGCATATTACTAAAATAGGAATTTTACTTTTTAAGAGGTCATACCAGGACACGTTTCTATCTCTGTCTCTGTCTCTGTCTTTCACTCCTCTCCCTCTCTTCCTCCCTCCCATTCTTCTTCTCTCTTTCCTCCCCCCACTCTCTCTGCCTTGCCTTCCAGATCAGGATGGAAAGTTCTTTCGCTAAGGTTTTAGCTCCCTGCCTCTGTTTCCCAACACATTCTAATGGATTACCAGTGTAAAACTGTTAGCAAGATCCTAGTTAAGTGCTTTTGTTTTAAAAGT